ATGCATTTCAATGTATGACAATGACATGTCAATTTCGTCTTTAAAGTCACATAAATTGTCGAAGTGTGATAGAGTCCAAAATTATCGAGGTGTCACAGTGTTGGAATCCATCCTTAAATCACACCGAAGAGACTGAGTGTCACGTCTTTTAATAAGTATGTAGTACATAAATTATCGAATTGCGATGGAACCCATAGTCGCTGTACTTAAACCGTAATCTCGTTTGTCGTGTCATTCGTTTGTTTTGTGATTCGTTAAACTTTGTCGTGATTAGTATACATTTAATAGAGTTAAAGCAAAAATTATCGAAGCGCGACAGAATCCATACTAGACTATTAGTACTGAAACCATCCGTGTGCTTGCTGTAAATGTCCCACTTCGATTGAGTTTCAATAAATTAAGGGAAGTCAAAATATAATCTAAAAGAGGTTCGACTCAATGCTAACTCAAAATTGAGCAAGGTGTAAATAAATCGAGAGTTCAACAATTCATGTTGTAACCATAACGACCTTTAAGTTACAAAATTGATGGAAGTGCAATGGAATCCACACTTAATCGATCATGATCAGTAAGTGATTGCCTTGAATCTTTTGTTTAGATTCAATTTATGGCCTCTCAATTACATTCTTCGGGTTCCTAAGTTTCATTCAGGTCCAAGATATAGCAATTTTAACATGAAATTAATAGCGTGCGAGTACCAATTTAAAATATAATGTCCTATTTTAACGAATAACATGTTTTTATTTTATTATATAATTTATATTATTATTAAAGCGAAATTATCTTACCCGCATCTGCTGCTCACCATCTACGAAGGTTGGGGACGTGGGATGCACCGACCGATAGCGTCGTGAGGATGAGTCTGTCATCCGCCTAGCTCACTGCGATGGATGCCCCTGCATGTTGTGTCCCCATGCTCTGGTCTCCGCGGGTTGCACATTGTGACGTATCGTGTTGCGTTGCGGTTTCACTGCGTTTAGCTATGGGATGTGAGCCACTATCGTCCTCTGCCTCATGGGTTTTGCCTACATCAGGCTCTGGTGACAAGCGACGACAACAATGAGGAGGAAGAAGAGAGAGAGAGAGAGAGATTGATGCGGATTGGGCAATATTCGAACGGGCGGACTGGACAGATAAACAGAAAGACGCAGACATAAGGATTTGACAGTCAAACAGAAACACGCAGACATAATGAGTGGACAAATAAACAGAAACACGCAGACATAAGGACTGGTTGGACAAACGGAACACACAGACACGGTGACACACACAGATGTTGTGACACAGACAGATACAACGAGACACACAGATGTTGTGACACACACAAACATGCTGTGACACAGACAGATACAGTGACACACAAAGATGCTGTGACACACACAGCTAGATGCTGTGACGCACACAGAGAGATTCTATGACACACACAGACATATGCTATGACACAGACAGATACAGTGACACACACAGATGTTGTGACACAAACATATACAGTGACACACACAGATGATGTGACGCACTCACAGATGATGTGACACATACAGATATTGTGACACACACAGATACGCAGTCACACAGATGCACGGCGACACAGGCACACAGTGCACATACACATAGTGCACGGTGACACACACATACACACACACACACACACACACACACACACACACACACACACACACACACACACAGAAAGAGAGAGAAAAAAAAATATACTTGTCGCCACCCATTGTCGATCATATTATTATTATTATTATTATTATTATTATTATTATTATTATTATTATTATTATTATTATTAATGCAAGGAAATGAGCCCTCATAGGGCCTTTATCAGACATGCACGTTTTCAAGTCAGGGGCCCTCAGCAAGCGTCGTGCCCACCCTAAGTGAAGGCGGGCCTTATTATTCACGAAAGACCAAAGTTGACATTTTTCAACAGAAAAATTCTCATTTTTTTTTTTTTTGCGTTGATCGTGGTCCTTGACCCCTTTCAATTGTTTAAAAACTGTTTTTAAACGTTTTTTCCTGGCATATACACCGTGGTCAACAGGAAGTGATGGAAACCAACGTTGGTGAGTTATGTTGTCCACATGAAGTGACATGATAAACTGTTGAGCTCTGTGTTGGTAAACAGTTTTTAATCTGTGTTATAATCTGTTGAAGTGCGTAGGGCACGTTGAATTGTGTGTTGATAATCAGTTCTTAAACAACTGAACACATGACTTTATGTAGGATATCAAACACGAGTTCGGTAAACGCTAGTTGCTGCAACGTCACGCCAAGCTTCCCGCCGCCTTTTCTTATTTGGAACACTTTTGTGAGTGCCCTCTTGAAATGTTCCGCTCCCCATGGCTCGTCGCCCTTCCCTCTCCATGTTTTGTCTTTGTTCATCTGGCTACGTAGTTCGTTTCGCACGGTGTTATTGTGATCCGACTGCACGCCACGTACGAGGGGGACACCTCTCTCTGCCCAAAACCAGTGTCTCAAGTGCCAAGTCAACTTTCCACGGACCCTTGTCATCATTCAGTTGCACTCTATAAGCACACTCCGCAAACCTTTCTCCTCCACATACTTCCCCCACCCTACCCTCACATCTTCTCCTAAAAGGGCAGGAGCCAACTTCAACGCATTGAAGAAGTCGTCCTCCGAAGGGTGGAATGTTGCGTCCCTCGCTGTTGAGTGCACAAAAGTTTTTGGCAACAGACCTCAACAGTCTGTCTTTTTGTTTTTTCCGAATAAGTGCCATTCGTTTCCCGTGCCACCTGCCGAACGCCTATTCTCTTTTGAGTCCTCGTCACGCCGTCTCCCTCCTTGTATAATCTGGCGGCCTGCAACAACACGTGTTAACAACCACAAGTTCGAAGTTGGTATTCACCACATTCATACATTCACTTGGCAGGAGAAACAACCGCAACCGCACTTACTTATTTGCAGCCTATCTCATATTTTCTTATCGAACAACGTATACAGTTCGCTACCATTTTGCACTATCGGCACGCAACGACAACAGTCTGAGCAAAACAACATGTCGACTGACCATTTGTGTTCAAATATTTTTATTTTTCTTATACATTACGTACTTACGTCCTTCAATTGCCTTCTCCTTCAGAACTAACTGCTTGTCGGCGTTGCTATCCTCCCTGCGTCCGTCACATTTTTCTCCTTGTGTTTTTCGAGAAGTATTTTGTGTATTGTCTTCGCTACACCTTTCTTCCCTGCTGCTGTTCCGAGATGGGTCTTTCTCCTCTTCGTCCTCGCCATCGCCATCCTCTGTGTTGTTATACCCATTCTCGTTGTCCTCCTCTTCGTTGCTCGCATCTTCTCCGTACGATTGTCATTCGTCGCTTGTGCCCTCGTTACGTCCTTCACCGTCCTCTGTCTCATCATACGGGTCGGACCTTTGCGTCTTACCTGCCGTGTCCCGTGACACGTCTCGTTTTTCAGTGTCGGCTGCCTCAACACCTTCGGATCCCCTCAGATCAATTGTCTCCTGCCCTTCCTCCTCCCCCTCAATGATTCTCCTCCTCTTTGCATTTGTGACGTTATGCCGAGGTTGTCCTTCCACCCCTTGTGCACATGACCTTTTCTTCGGCGCCTGTGGCGGAGATCGCTTCTGTCGCATGCGATTCTTCGTGGATGCCGGGGAGGCGGGGGCCGACTCTCGTTGTCGTTTATTGGCGTCAGACCTGTTTGCTTTCGGCGGCGTTGTGACCGCATCACGGTCCGCGCGTGACTTCATCAAAGGTGATCTCTTGTTTTTTTCGTGTGGCCATCTCCGGAATTTCCCCTTCTCTTTCCTGACTGCAGTCTTTTCGCTCAGGCGTGCTGGTGGTTGTCTTTCCTGTACTTGCTTTAAGGACGAAGCAAGATCTTCGTACCTACGGTGGGCTGCCATTGCAAAGCTACATGACACACACAACATTCCAGTTATGAGCTATTTACTTAAACGCTAAATAATGTATAGAGAACTTTTAAATGCGAATCAGCCTGACCATTGTTGAAGAAGAGATAGAGAGAGACAAAGAGAGAGAGAAAGAGAGAGAGAGAGAGAGAGAGAGAGAGAGAGAGAGAGAGAGAGAGAGAGAGAGGGAGAGAGAGAGAGAGAGAGAGAGAGATGTTTCTCATATTATATGTTGACAAGAGAAGATTTCACATTCATGCAAAAAAACAAACAAAAAGTAGTGCAGTCAATATTCTTCGCCAACTTCCTCTTAATATTCTACTACAGTCATCCTCCGCTTTTCTCTCTCTGCTCCCTCCTAGTGGCTCTCTCTCTCTCTCTCTCTCTCTCTCTCTCTCTCTCTCTCTCTCTCTCTCTCTCTCTCTCTCCTCGCAAGCGTTATTGTCTCTCTCTCACTTCATTTAAGGTTGAACATAATATTCTTCGGTGCAGCCTCACTTGCCAAATCACTCACAACACACGATGGACGGTGGATATAAATGAAACGGTCTCGCTCTCACTTGCATGTATATCCACAGTGTGTTGTCAGAAAACTCACAGTAAGCACTAACCCCCCTCACCGATGCAATCGACCCCCCCCCCCCCCCGATCGTCCCACCCGACATGGCCTGTCGAGCTTGTCTAAGGCAGTTTGCCACCGTCTTTTTTTATGTTCGCTCTCATGACACGAGCTAGCGTCTGACATGCTCCAAGAGTCGTGTAACCTTTCGCTGCTGCTGCACACTCTACAATGCGATCGAGAGCTCTAACACGGAAGTCTCGAACAGTTCTTCCATCGATGCGCATCTTCTCTACAATCTCCAGTACGTCGTCTTTCGAGATGTCATTTTCAGTAGGGAGATGTGCCAACTTTGTTATCAACTCTTCTGCCATGCAACATACATACACAACATAATCCTTTGTGTTACTTTGTTGTGAAGACCTCGCATGGATCAGTCCACGACCAAATATATCTCTGCAAGTGTTCCACGACTTGTCCACCAGTTGGCGTATGACATCCGGACCCCTTCTTTTGTCGTTGAGGTACTCGTGCCACATTAATGTCCGCAACGCGCTCCAATCCGGAGTTGCGTACCCGTGACACGAGTCGACGATTATGGCGTTGGGTCATGTGCCGTCAGTCCAAAACTCCCTTACATTCAAGATTATGAGCATCATCCAGTGATGCTTGTGGTTAATTGGAATAAGCACGACCGGTGGAGCCTCCAGGTCTTTACACAGTTGATGAATTTTTATCGTCCGACTCTTCACATCCAACTCCCATCCCCTTTTCACTGCTTCGACTTTCTTATTCGCGAGCACCTCCAGATGCCAAAAAGTTGTACACACATGCACTGCTGCGGTGTTCTTACCTTGCAATTGCTCTTCGTATACGGACAACAAATACATGTCCATTACATTGTYATTGAGCCACTTCCCAACGGCCAAGCACATCACATCTGCCTCCGCCGGTCGGATCTCCTCCCTTTTGCCTTTCCACGTGAGTGGATATATGTTTGTCTCATCAACAACCTCAAACCCGTTCGACGAGCTTGATGCGTTTTCGCCCTTCTTTCCCTGTGTCGTCTTCCTACATGACTCTGAACGTCCGAGATCCGCTGACTGGATTGTTCCCCTCGTCGCTGCCAAGTACATTCTGTTGTACCACGGGTCCTTCCGTGACGGGTGCTGCCATCTCCCCAACATAGCCTCCATTGTGATTATTCTGCAATTCGTCGTCGTCCTCTCTGTTGCTTCTTCGCCTTCTCTTGTTGTGGCTTGTGGCCTCTTCTCGGTGTGCGTTGCTCCCTTGTCGAGCTTTTGCGTTTCCACTTTGCTGCGCTCAACATGCTCCTGCTTCCTCGATTTTGTTTTCTCTTGATTGCTATCGATCGTGACCTTGGCCACGCTCTCATGTTTGTGGGTTTTCTCTTCAGTTGTCCGCATTCGTGTTGTTCTTGATCGTTTCCCTCTCCTCGTGGTCATGTCTGCTGCCAGCGCTGAGCGTTCAGTACTGTTCCTCGTAATGTGTGACATTCTAACTGTCAACAAGCCATTAACATTTTCACGAGCTTTTTTGCGTCAGTTCCGGTAGTCGTTCCTTGGTCACGCGATGACAGGGCTTGGGGAGAGATAGATAGATAGATAGAAAGATAGATAGATAGATAGATAGATAGATAGATAAATAGATAGATAGATAGATAGATAGATAGATAGAGATAGATAGATAGATAGATAGATAGATAGATAGATAGATAGA